TACTTTAGAAATTCAATAAGTTTCTTTGAGACTTACTACAACGCAATGCCTTATTTATAATCAATTTTATTCCTCCAAAATAGTAATAATTGGTTCTTCTAGAGCTCTCAATTAATTTTATAGTACCACATATTCATCAACATCCATATGGTAAATATCTCTTTTAAAGAGAAAGTTATACTATTATGGGTATGGTCAAAATTATATGCAAGATATGTTTCTTGCATTATCGTTATTTTTTAATAATCACAATGCCAAAATAGTTTGGCATACAATAAGTACTTGACTAATGACCATTTATGACATAATAATAAAATAATTTTCTTATTTCATCCCAAACTTCTTTCTAGAGGTTAGTGTAGTATATTCACTACCACTAGCACGTTCATATTCTTCCAAGAATGAATATGTATTCATAAATCAGATGTTGTCACATTCACATCATGAATGAACCATAATCATCTATATGTGCTTTATAAAATCTCATGACAAATCAATGATAAATATTACTTTCACAAAGTGAAAGATTATTTTGAGAATCCTTATTATTCCCATTATCACAATGATGACGATTATAATTTCGTCTATTGCCACGTCCACATCCATTGATACCTTCACGGTTGTCTTCTTTCAGAATTATCACATATTGCTATCACATTCTCTTAAGGGAATGAGAATTGAGCAAATTCAATGGGACGGGTTTTCACTTCTTGTGCTCACGATCATACATGAATTTGATCATGGCAAGACATAGAAATTTTATCACTTCGAGTAGTTATAATTTCTTACTAACTTCATTAGAGTTATGATCAAAATTTATTTTCTTTGTTTGTATTTAAAATCAAATTATAGAATAAAAGAGAAAAATACGGCAAAATACATACCTTAAATTCAGAATTTAATTATGAAGGAAGTTCATGGAACAATTGACAATCATTATGCTCAATCCCAAAGCTTCTACCCAATTGGTTAGAGTCTCGTGATGATAACGTGTTATAAAACAATAAAAAAAAAAAAGAGTATTGCAGAGAAAAGTAAAGAGGATTCTTATTGATTTGGGATGAATTACAAATCGAACCATCTATTTATAGGGAGAGAGTGAATTAGCTACCAAGTAATAAACCCTAAAATCTCTCTAAGATACAGACATTCACCTTAAATAGAATTCCATTTATAACAAAAACCACAAAAATACTAGTATTATGTATATCTGCTAAACAGGGTAAAAGAAAAGCAAAAAGGTTTCTTTGATACAACAGAAAATGTTTCCATGCCTTGGAAATATCATATATATCAAAATACTTATAAAATCCTCAAAGATGATTTAGTGGGCAGAAGCTTTTACTTTGTTATGAAGTTTTGTGGGAACTATGCTATTGTGCCACCATATCCAAATTCTAGGCCTCTCTAACTATTAGTCACCATTAATCAATATTTAATTAACCCCATAATTACGGTAATAAATATTGTTTAAATGACACATGTAATAGGGAATCATTTTAGGCTCAAATATATACTCCCCGTTCACTTTTACTTGGCATATATATTAAAAATAGATTTTTATTTTTACTTGTCACTTTACACATATTAAGAGAAGAAAACTTTTTTTTCTATTTTACCCACAGTATTTATTACTCATTTCAAATCATTTTTTCAAATCTAATAAATATGCATCAATTAATATGTGTATCATGATAAATTATGCATTTCATTTATTATTTCTTAAGGGGCGTGAAAAATTAAAATGTGTCAAGTAAAAGTGAACGGAGGGAGTATCAGTATTGGATCAACCTTCCTTGACATTATTGAAAGCATTAGTGTCCACAAACCAAACATAACAAGCTCTCCCTGCTATATCGTTCTAAATTTATCGAATTAATATCTCTGAAAGGACATATAGCAAGGTCTGAAAGACCAGTTTTTTGGAGTATTAGAATTGTTTGATTCTTTGACCAGCCTTATGGTGCTTGCTGGAAGACTTCTTATGGGAACAGCGGATTAGGGAAAGAGATTATCGTAATAAAACTTAGACACATGATGTTAATTAACCAAATAATGAATGTATAACATATATCTTTTTATATACTTTTCTTAATCCTAATTAAGAGAAGAATCCCTAAGAGTTAAATCCAATTATATTAAGAATTAAAAATAAAATAAAAAGAAGAAGTATTATAAGGCGCAACCTGATGCACTAAGCTCTCGCTATGTGCGGGGTCGGGGGAAGGACCGGATTATAAGGCTCTATTGTATGCAGTCTTATTTTGCATTTCTACAAGAGGTTGTTTCCACGTGCGGCTCGAATCTGTGACCTCCTGGTCACATGGCAGCAACTTTATCGGTTACGTAAGGCTCCCTTTCAGAAGAAGTGCTATAGTTTATCTATATTTTCTATCTGGCATCACTAGAAAACTCGTGGAAAATATTGGACCTAAAAAGTAAGTGTATTCATCATGATCAATCTATCTCAAGTGACATTCTCTCATTTTATTCCATAAATATGATCATTTTTAATCTTACCTAATCTTATATTGATACATATCTATCTTAGCATCCTCATCTCTACAAAGTTCGGATATGTTAAACTTTAGGGAGGCCCAACATTCTCTCCACTTAGACAACATTATGTTGGTCTTAATAATATAGACCAATGACAAAGAACATAATTAGTTGTTGGTTAGGATTTTTTTTGGTAAAAGTACAAAAAATGATCAAGACAAAGATCATAATAAATGTTGAATGAGACTAGTCTAGCAAAGGAGGGGATTTTGGTCAATGTAGAAACTAAAAACAAAGGATAAGATGCAGTATTGATCCGAAAATAACAAAGGTCCGTCGTAATTGGATAAGTTTGTCATATCTAATGTAAGCTTCTGAATATCTTCTGATTCATCATAGAATTATCTGAATTAATAAAAGATGAATGGATCAAAGTAATATCACAATTATTTATGCCTCACGATGGGCGTCAAACTGCGTATTCATAAAATGGTACGGTTGAATTTGTAACGTGGTTTATAGACGCGTGAATTAAATTGATCCGAGAATGAAGAACAAAATTGAACAAAAGTTTGATCTTTTGTCCAGAAATTCAAGAACTTGAAAGGCCTTCTAATTTGTATCTGATTCATACTACAAGTCTACATTGTATTATGTTGTTATTTGTGCGTTCAAAATTTACAATATGTCCAACAGAGTACGCAGCATCATTTACAATCCAATTTGAGAACATCATTTCCCAAGAGACTTCATGAACCAAAGAAACTGAAAAGTTAGCTAAGTTATGAGGAAAAGTAAAAAACCTAGAAATCTGTACAAAATCAACGTGATCTAAAGTAGAAAACATACACCATATACAGTTAAACTTCTCTATAACGGCATCATTTGTTCTGATATTTTTCCATTACATCGGCCACTTCTCGCGGGACTTTGACACCCCCTGGATCAAGAAACTTATTTTAATTTGGTTCAGTAAGTTTTAAAGCATAATTGAACCCAAAGGACAACGCCAGATGCCAATGATAAGTGTACGTAAGACATATCAAGACAAAAAAATGGAAGAAAAAAAAAGGAAGTATTATTATTGTTTAGAAAAATAACAGACCTTTGAAAAATATTTAATGTGGTGAATGATTTGTCCTGCACTAGTGATGCAAGAGAGAGTGAAACCAGACGTGGATTCAGGATTTAAATCTTATAGGTTCAATATTTACGGTTTTTAGCATTGAATCTATTAATATATTTTTAAAGTTATGGGTTCATATTTACTGTTTTTGCAATTTTAATGAGTTTTTATATACAAAGTTATGGGTTTAATTGAACCCGCCGGTTGAACGCTACATCTGCCCGAGTGAAACCAAGACTGTGTCACTAATCTGGATTTATTCTTGATAATAATATTATCAATAGTGACATTATGTCAACTTTCAGTAATGATTTAACATTTCTTGAAATAAAATAAATCAGATTGTGAATGAAGCAAAAGCTGCTGTTCTGTATTTGTAGTAAATAGTCAGAATAACAATATGAGTCCTAATCCTTAATCAAGCCATTTGTTGTTCTTTCAATCTGAAGAAGACTTGTGGTCTATTATATAAATTGTTATTTAATACATTCAGGACAAAATTGTGGCAATATGAATAATTTCCTATAGTGATTACTGATATGACATGCAATTAAAATAACTTGGAATATAAAAATCACCTAGAACACTCCAAGAAATGAAGATGACGCAACATGGAACTTTAGTGGAAGAAACTCTGTACAAACAGTTAATTAATCTTTTGTCTATATCTTATTGGTTTTTAAAGAAAATGAGAATTCTTTATAGGGGAAAAGGTATAATCTAGGGGGGAGTACCCTCCACGAACCATCTTAATTTTACCCTCCGTTATATATTAAAATTATTCATATATTTATCATTAGCAAATCATCTCGTACTTGGCCTTGATCCTAGCAGACCTCCAACCTTACATATAAAGAATTTTAATATTAAACCATAGTCAAAAGTATAACATTAAATTTGCACATTCTTTCGTAGTACTTTGTCTAGTTGAATACGCTCAATCTATACTAGAGCTCCATTAAAGTTAATGGTAAACCCGAGACGATTTGCTAATGACAAGGGTATGAATGGAACAAAGTAAAACGAAGTACACAAATTAAGCTACTTCGTAATAAAATGGTAAATCTGGTCTTTTTCCCTTCTTTATATGTAAAGCTCATATTATTTAGATTTCTAGTCTCCAATTTGGAATTTCAAATGTTATGACTTCTCATTTGAGAATTCTTCTTAAAAGAAATTACTTAAAAATTTCCTCCAGGCTATTATATATACCTACACCAATCATTCAGAACAAGCAGTGAAACACAAACCTAAAAAA